TTATTTCGAAATAAATCCGACAAAAATTATTTCAGTTTGTAAAAAACTATTATTAATAATGATTGTAATATAAATATTGTAGGCAAAGTTTCATCAATGGCTACCTTTTTTTATATAATAGATGTAATAAATTATATTTTAAATTCCGGGAATGTTTTCTTGATTAATATTTTTACAATTTTTTATTACATTTGGCTTTTTAAAGTCACTTTAGGTAAAGACTCCAATTTCGTGTATTTGGTTTCCATTTTTATAAATAATCTGCGTTTCTAATTTATGAAGATTATTTAAAACTTACGAAAACACATTTAACATAAATATAATAATCTCTTCCAGGAATAAAATCAAAATTAAAAAAAGGGAAATAATAAATATCATTGAATTCATTTTCCCTTTCAAAACATTGTGAATGAAATTTTTCTTTCAAATAAGAGTTGTTAAAATTAAAACAATTAAGAGTTTTTTATTGGACAAAAGTAATACTTAACAATTTATTTAACACCTTTTAAATAAATAAATAAATATTTCATAGTCAGTGCTTATGACTTACATTTAATTAAAAGTCTTAGTGTTTGTTAAATAATAATACTTTGTATAGGCATATCTGTTAATTGTCATATGATCACTTTTATACTATTATTTTTTACAATAATTTTCGGGACATTAACACCTGAATTAATAGAAATGTTTCTAAACAGCTTTTGCAAGCTATCATTACAATCAATAACGTGTGAATTTATACGGTCTTTTTTGCACTTGGTAGAATTTTCTTGTTTTGTACTTTTGTTAGGAACTTTATTATCACAATTACTACTGTTACTTTCTTTTGGCACCTTTGGCTTGTGTTTTACGTGATAAACTTTGCAGCCATCCCCTTTACATTGTACATTCTTTTCGGACACTTCGTCTCCTAGTTCTATCCTACCGCAATCTCCTTTCCAGCAGATATTTCCGTTTCCAGACTTTACCGAAAGGAAACACCCATCACCCGTTACGACAATTTTTCCGTTATTTCTTTCGACCACCACTTTACAACCATCTCCGGAAATTTTAAGAACATCACTATTTTCGATTACATGAATGTGCTGGCCGTCCCCAAAATAGTTATTCATAGTCGATTCACGAATATTGCTTTGTTTACACAATAATACCATTATCACAGTCAATTAATTAAATTATACAAAAACACGTAAATGGATCTTGTTTAAACACTTATTACAATTCCTGTGTACATTGCAAAAACACTAGTTCGTGTTTAACAGAGGAATGGTATTGTTTATTTATTCGCACATGTATATGTACCTAGCTAAAGTACTATTTAAAAAATTGTGGAGTGGGTCTTAGGGGGGGCTTTGCGTATCCTCTTGTCATTCATTACGGTTCTTTACCCGTTTCGGTAAAGTCCGGATCTTGATATGATAGTTATTATGACGAAAAGCATACGTAGCAAGCCACGCAAAGAGAAAGTGGAGTGGATAATAAAACGGGGATTTTTCGTAATTGCTATTAGCATTGCTCTTCTAAATGTCATATATATACTTGGAGGTGAAATTACAGCTGTTGTTATTTGCTTACTGATTAAGTTATGATAAGAAAAGAAAAGAATTATATCAGAGTAATAAATAAGTTTCCATCATATTTCCATTAAAGTGGAAAATAGTTATCATAGTTATGTAAGAGCATATAATATAATTTTAATCCGAGAAAACTAATGAAACTTAAGTACTCTAACTATTTGCGAACAGTAATATGAGCTAATTGTTTTCATAATCTTTTTCAAATGTCTCAATTAACGAAATTAACGAATTGCGACATCGCTAGCATCCAAGTGATTTCCTTTTTGTTAAAAGCGACCCGACTCTAGTTTTTCGTCTCCTATTTTTATTACAATTACAAAAGAATATGTTAAAGAACATAAAAATTAGTTTTAATTACCTACATACTGTTTTTATNGCCCCCGTAGAGGCTTCCAAAAATTGCCTTAGTGCACGGTATTTCACGTGCCCTAGGCGGGGTATTGGTTAAAGTTTTCAACTAGCAATAATCGCACCTCGGATAAACCTCATTGGTTACGATATCGCCACTGCGCAAAGCTACATTTTGCCAGGCTTTGTAAGGCCATTTGGAAATTTTCAGTTATCCTAGTAGTGGTGAGTAGCTTTAAAAGTAGGTAAACAATATTTACTAAACTCAAAAAACCCAATGTATATGAATAAACTAATTTCATTATAAAACCAATCTATTTTATGTTTTATATTATTTGTAGA